ACACACTGTGCTTCATAAACCATGTGATTGGAAGGGTTTCCTGCGCCTCTGTCAAGGTAACAGAGATGAAAAATGAATTTTGCATTATGTAAAAATACAACAAAGAAGAAATAATGGAAGGATAGGAGAAAAAGAAGGGAAGACAGGGAGTAAAGAAATGTGTGTAGAAAATCAGAAGTGAAGAAAAAAATAGAGATGGATTTTTTAGTGAAAATAGCTTTTGCAAATGAAACATGTGACAAGGGCGTCATTACCTCTGTTCACTTTGCCAGCAATATGCCAATTTGAATTGGATTTCTTGATTTATAAACAAAATTGCCTCATAATCTCCACGGAAACATGAAAATAGATTTCATCAGACGTACGGAAATTGAAGGAAACTGCCTGTATCCCGTTATTAGACATTCTCACAGCTCTCTGATGATATGATCCCGATTTAATTTCAATTCTATAGGAAACCTACCGCTGTATTTTCCAATTCTGTAGATCTGTAGATGCTCGATATGCTACATGTTTCATTTAGCCATTGTTGGAAAAACATTCAAAAGTTGATAGATATCTCTAGGTTTAACTTTATTCGATTCGAGATTGAAATTGTGTAAGTCAAACAATTGGCCATATTGAAACACACAAAGCAGCGAGAGCTCAACACATATTTTCATGATTTATTACAACTTACTCTACAATTCCTTACATGAACTCTTCGTAGATTGTTATTCTTTTCAACCTAAATGCCTTGTTTGGGCGTAATTATGCAGGCAATGCCATCGTTATTCCAGCGAAACGAAGCGCAGGCGTACCGTTGACCCCTGCATTTGTTACATTCATCTGTTGACTGGTTAATTAAAGATTGGGCAGGTGCTCGACCCGACATAACACCTACCAAAGACTGAAATCAATCAATCTATACTCGTATTCATTTCGTTTTGCAGAAAGAAAAAAATGGTTCACTTTCGTTACAGTGATTACATGCTTGTTAGCAAGATTGATTGCAAGAATGAAATGTCTATTAGACTAATAATCATTGTTAATGAAGTGACAGGCCATCGTTTAGCTCCGAATAAATCGTCGTCCGACTGACCACCCCGATGAACAAAAACATCTTGCTGTATTTTGTCCTGTCTCTTAGTCTGAAACTCCTTTTCCTATCTCATATGACTGAGAGGAAAACCAGCTCCATTTCCGTCACATTTGGCAGATGCAGAGTTAATAAACAGGTAATTTTTTAAAAGAAAACCAAATTTTTAGACCGTCGGGAGTAGAGGTCTACTCTGTTACCATGCAGCCGTGCCCTCGTACACAGTGTATGTTATTTTCAGCTTCGTTTGATTTCTATGTAATGTTTTTGATCAACTAAATACTCAAGTCAGCTCTGGATTAGTTGTACTTTGAAGGCCAATGCTTACGGAATACCAAAGGTTCTTGTAAGTTTACTTTGTCTGGAGGTTATGCTCTCATTTCTCAATGCTCTTACTTCTTGTATATTGTTTTGTCGGTTCTGTTGTCTAGGAAATCTCTCTCTCTCTCTCTCTCTCTCTCTCTCTCTCTCTCTCACACACACACACACACACACGCAGGGGCGGATCCAGAGCTATATACTGACAGTCTTCCAAATTATCTTTGTTGATTCATCCTCCAATTTTGACCGTCTTCCAACATTAAAAATTGGATACCCGTCAATGTAAACTTGAAAATCTGACCGTCTTCTGGAAGACCCAGAAGACGGCCTAAATCCGCCCCTGCACACACACACACACACCTAGACATTCCGTCACCCACCACTGTAATAGGATGGTCGACAGATAAGATGATCAAGTGTTCTAGATATAATATGGACCAAACCAAAGATTTGAACACTTGAAGTTTGCACTCCTGGGTTCCTCAAATAATCCCAGGCACGAGTTGCGACAGATAACACCCAAGGACTTATAGATTTGTAGGGGAACTAGCTCAACATTTTCTTAATGTCAAACTGCACAAATTATCCTCGCAATCCTAATAATTGCCCCTTTTGAAATATATCTCACGTACTCAGTAAGGGAGATTGAAAGATAGTATTATTTTTTCTGGGTACATAAAGCAATTTGTCTGAAGTTACATGTACATGCGCAATCACAGACGTACTAGTAAGGCTAAGATTGTTTAAAATTTTATATTTATACGATTCAGTGATCACATCTTTGCTATAGTTATGGGATGTCCAAACGGTGAAATACGGATACATAGTGTTTGGGGTCCTCAGGGGTGGGATACCTCACGTAGGAGCTACATATACTAACTTAAAATGTGAAGTTTTAGGAATTCTGAAAAATAATTCAGAAATCGAGATAAAACTTGGACTAAATGCAAATTCCCCTGACTGCAGATATGGGAAGAATTAATAATAAGAAATAAAAATGAATAATTACATATAAACAAGATGGAATTAAATGAAATGAAATTTAACGTAAGTGAATAGAATGTGATTTAGGCATAGGTACGTGTTGTTTGCAATCATTTAATGAGTTCTCTCAGTCTGACACAAGAACTAAGGAATTTAAATGTCGCTGTAATAGTCCTTGCGGTAGAGAACAATCCACGTTCAGTTTTCACTCTATGCCTCAGGCGCTTTGGGACGTGGGCAGAGGATGTAAATATAGTAATGCGACTAAACTTAAACAAGATACGTCAATGCGGTAGTTTTAGTCTGAATTGGATAGTACATTATATGACACAATAGAAAGAGAATACCTTACATCAAACAATTCAACGTCGACAGGGAACAGTGTGTAAATGAATCGTAATTAGATATTCTAAGAAAAATTATTTTTCTTGCGTCACTGGGTGAACACAGAGGCCCTTTCTCAATCTAAAAATTAATTAAAAAGAACCTTAAAAAAAAAAAAACAAGCGTTGGGTCTATGGGCCACCTCCATTTATTTGCATATTTGGTAAATGGGTGGCAAAGGAAATGATTGAAAGAAAATTGACTTTTCGCGACATTAGGGTGTTTGACCTTTTGTCCAACCCGCATGTGGTGCGTGGAGCAGGCCTTCTCCTGTCACTCACTCAGAGGTCACATCTTACTGCAGATCAGACGTACGTGGGACTTGTGGACAGACCGTGGAGCTGTGATCTTGGCTGGTAATATGTCTTTTGGGAATGTGTGTGTGTGTGTGTGTGTGTGTGTGTGAGTGTGTGTGTTTGTGTGCCTGCGCGTGTATCTATATGAGTCTCTGTGTGCGTAGGCTTGCGTGCGCGCGCACGTATATGTGTGAGAGAGAGGGTGAGAGAGATAAATAATGAGAGCGAGAGAGAGATTTACGTCTAGGTCTTGGTACATGTTAGAGTCGACTTAGAAGTAGATGTTTAGTGGGGCCTTCACGCCTGTGACGGGATCTATAGGACCCGCTTACTTTTTCACGCTCTGCAGCAGTCTATCTATCAAAGGATTAACTTCTGTTCAACATTTCAAGAGAAAAACATCTTTAACAAATATTTCGTTCTCGTAATAAATGCCTGGCAAATGGTTCTATTAAGTCGAGCTTCTTTTTTCAGCGCTATTTCTCAATTTAATAAATTGAGTACTTTCACCGTGGACCTAAATATAGCATGGAGTCTGGGCGCTCTGAAGGACGTGATACATTTCATGAATGGCGTGGATATTTAACAAATGACCTCTTCAACCAAATGGGCATTATAAACCACCTAAACCATGTTGGCCAGCTGGAATGATAATCTCTTCTCTTACGTTTTTCAATATGTTTCTTCGACCACTTTATTTGATTTATTTCCTGTAATTTTCTACGTTATCGCGCGCAAGTAAAGCTAATACGTTTTTATATTCCTGTTCTTTGTCCCTGTCAATTAGATGGTCTCTCCACCCCCTCCCCCCGTTTCTAAAATAACGTAGTTACTGATACCCCCCCCCCCCTTCGTTTTTCCTGGAAGGGGACCGGGCTATTACTTTTCCTGGTATAAACAGCGATAGTTTTCATTGACGTACTTATTACATGTCTTTTGTGGCGCCTTGGGGGTGCTTTGAAATGACATCGTTTCAGTGCTTGCGGATATCAACGACATGCTTTATCTCATGGGTTTGATTTGACTGTTTGTACGAGATTAATCTCGGATATCAGAGATCGTACAAAAGTTGACATAAATTGACTTGGAAAAAAGTTGTAATATGGCAATTATGGTCTCGGAAAAGAGTTGTATACGGCAAACATGGAGAGTGACTCTGTACGTTCATTTCTATAGACCCACTAAACATACTTTAGACCTCAAAATGGCATTTTAGAAGAACCGTTTTCTTTATTATATCACACCTATTTTCAAAACAGATACCCCCGGCGGGACTCGAACCCGCAATCTTCGGTTTAGGAGACCGACGCCTTATCCATTAGGCCACGGGGGCTGACTGCACACCCGGGGGTTATGCTGATCTGCAACGTATCCCGACGAGATGCACCTCCCCCCCCCCCCACCCCACCTGCTGAACGAATTTTCTTTTAGCCAAGTATTGATAAAATTCAAAGGCCGAACGTTTTCGTTTAAGATTAGGTGAAAAACATAGACACGAAATGCTTACAAACGTGAAATAGGCGGTACAACATAAAATGCGGGGATATCGCAATGAACTTTGTAACCTTTCATAAATTTCAAAAGGACTTGTTTTTTTCAAATTGCCATTTCACGGGTCGTTGCACTTAGACGGTGGAAAACGTGGGAGTCACGACTGTATGCTCCTGTCAGAATATCAAACAAAGGCAATTGCAAGTCGGCTTATAAATCACAATAAATGAACTGTTAAATGCTATCTGGTTATTTATTTTGAACAAGAAATATATTGTTATGCCTTTGCACTGAGAATGATACATGGTTTGTTTTAGCATTACAGAAGGTGAGTGCAAAAAACCCGCCATTGATCCAGGCAAACTGTTTTTTTTTTTAGTTTTGACTTTTAAAACAATACATTACAACCAATGTGTGTGTGATTTAATCTTCCTTGATGCGAACTGACGTAAGGTTTTCCTGAGAGCAGCTGGTCCCGACTGCGAACTTCGCGATCAAAATTGGTGAAGACTTTCTTAGTGCCTACTTATTTGTCTGCTGCTACAATTGTTTCGGCTATTTGCCAGTGCTAGGTTCACTACGCCCGAACATTTGGCAGAAGTTTCACACTTGGTATTTAACATTTCTTTCAGGTTAATAGACATTTTTGCTGGAGCGAGGATATGCCAGTTACGTTAACTCAACGAAGTCGACATGATTTTACTATAGTGTTGGGATATTGCCAATTCATTAGATTTGTTTCTGTGTACGACAGGTCTATTATAGAGTGCACTTCAATCTGTTTCAGGGAAAAGACAATGGTTTTGTTTCAGATAGCTTTAAACACATAGGAGGGTGTTTGATTTCTTGCGAACACGGAACTTTCTGATGTTATGCAAAAACAAATCAAATGATTTTAATGGTGTCGTCTGCACATACCAGTACTGTGTCGTGCTATGTGACTCAACGCTTCCTTACTCAAAAGAAACAAAGGTGCGGACATAATCTAGGAATGAAGAAACATTCCCCTTAAACTTATTCTCTATTTGTTTTTCAGAAACAAAGCGGGGACGCTCTAGAGCCTGCTCAACAATTTTAAAAAGGGGGATTTAACAAAATAATCACAACCGAGAAGATGTCGAAAGGGAAGAAGAGTATTTCCGTGAAGATCAAGACTGGTCAGCCAGGACATGGCGAAGAAAGGAAGGACGAGGATGCTGTGTAAGTTTATCGTATATATATATATGAATAAAATGAATAAAATATATATAATACGATAAACTTACGCAGTAATGAATTATATATATATATAATATAATTCATTACTGCGTAAGTTTATCGTATTATATATAATTTATTCATTCCATAATACGATTCCCAAGACAATCTTATTTCAGGGTATTAGTTTTGGTAGCAAACGATTGGTGTCGCCTAGTTTAATCGTGAATAAGTTTTTATAAGCGGTCAGGATTTGATGTGATATTCTAAGCAGTTTTCAATTAGCCTACTTTTTGCGGGAACAACTTCACTATTTACTATTCAAATGGATTCCTCTACTGGCGACTAACTATTTATAGGAATGGATAGAGTTACATGTAGGCTTATGTAGTCTTATTAACAGTGACCCAGACTACTGTCGGAAAAATTTCTTGAATCTTTTATAGACTCATCCAAATTAATCGAACGCTGCTTTTGCTTCTGGTACTACACGTCTCTCTTGTTTCCAAGAAGCCACGCAGGGAAAAATTAATATTATTGAATTAAGAGCTCTTCAGAATTTTCAGTGCGGAAATTGAACCGGCGCAGTTCTAAAAGCTTCGATTACACCGACGGGACGAGCCCGGAATATAAATGTGGTACATTTGAAATAATCAATAACCATTTAGTAAGGAACAGGGGCCAAATTTTGCATCTTTTTTAAGTCGTGAATATACACCAGTATAAGTAGATTCAAACCTGCCATTATTACTTGGAAAACCATGTTTTCTGTTTGCTTATCGCGAGAGCAAGCACATCGTGCAAGCCACGTGGAGGAGGGGAAGAATCTTAGATGACAAGTTAACGATTACCATTGAAGTAGATTAAAGGAGAGAGATGGGAGGCGACGAAGGGGGGGGGGGGAGGAGCGGAGAGTCGGGATGTGGAAGCAGACCGCCTTGTTTAATGCTTACTTCATTGCACACGTAAGATGCTGTTATAAATGACTCGGTATCTTAGAGAAATTCCCTTATTGCCATCTTACATCAAATTCATATCAGAAGGCAAATAGAGTTAGTACTTTATTGGGCCTCGTTAGCACATCGTGTGAATGCTAAGAGCAACTGAAATATGCGGGTCAATAAAATAGTTCATCAAATGGTGAAGCTGTCACCGGCTGATACGTGTTTCGTTATCCAGGTAAAACAACTACGACTAGTTAATTTTCAATTCAAAAACACATCAATCAACACAAGTGCCTGAAGTAATCAATCAATCCACTGACTGGCAAAAAAAATCAATCTCTGCTGTCAAACAACAAGAAATCACATGTTACTTCCTTAATTGCAGTTTTTGTACTGAATTCTTATCACCATTTTTAAAAATTATTATAGGCCTAATCTTGTATTGTCAATACTTTGAATAAGAGTAGCGGAATTAAAAATAAATTATCTAGCAATCATAAGATCTTGCAAAAAGGCCAGCGCGACATAACGGGAATCGTTCAAGACAGCCCAGTGTTAAATTAAACTAGATTTCGCATGGGCAGGAATTGAAGGTGAGTGGGATGAGAAATGATGGAAGACAAGCGTGTGCGCTGTGCAAAAACGAGTAAAAGATGTTTTTCTCTTGCCGCTTTATACTGGGACGTTTTCTGAGGCTGGCGTTGTGGACCTGCGAGCTTTTGACGTGGGCTTAGAGCTTTCTGAACTAGATGAAGACAGGAAATTCCAAAAATACGTACCCCCGGCGGGACTCGAACCCGCAATCTTCGGTTTAGGAGACCGACGCCTTATCCATTAGGCCACGGGGGCCGTACACTTATCCAATTTTGATCATAAAAAATCAATCCATAATAAAACCCATCACTCAACCCAAATAAATGAGAAAACAAACTTTAGGCTATTCGCCCCTGAGATACGCACCTGTCAGTTTATCATAGTATGTATTTTGTGCACGTATTTTTTTTATCGTAACACGTTTTTTTAGGCGATATTAGATTCTCTATTCCATTTCTGTTTGCCTGTGGACATAAAAAAGATAACAGGAAAACAAAGGGTGACTGCAATAATGAATACAATAGACAATTCACAAAAATATCAATTTGGTTTTTTAACTCAAAGCGACGCAATTTCAATTTTTGTGTCAGTAATATTTTAGAATGTGTAAAAGGTAACAAACATAAAACCGATTACCTTATTACAGAAAATCAAAACAAAAGCATCTTTCAGGACATCAAACGAATAAATAGATGATACGATTAAATAGATGATACGATGAAATACATACAAAAAAAAATTGCCGTCATCAGAAGAGAATCCTGCGTCTTTCTCTCTACGAACGCCTACTAATACCGGTGCGCTACAAGCGCCGTCTCCAAGCGAGCACATGAAGTGTGCGTCAAGCTTTCATAACTCTATTTGATTCCTTCTGTCAATGCTGTAGTCAGCTTTCAAACCTTGGAGCGCTGGGGATAAATATATACTTTCTTTAAGTCAAATGTTTGTACATTTCGTAATCCGACCGTATTTAGTTCACTGGCTGTATGGTTTTGCGATAGAGCGCGCACGAGTGAACTCTTGCACACAAAAGATCAAGAAATCCCCACTCTCATTAAAAACCCATTCTGACACTCTGTCAATGTTATGTCAGTGTTTGACTGGAATGAATTTTTTGTTTGTGTCATGTTTACGTGTAGATTTGGATAAAAACTTGCTTGTTTTAGGCTGAACACACTTTAACATATTTTTTGAATTGACGACAGTGGCAGCTCCAAAATCCCAAAGGATGAATTGGAAATTTTCATGGGCCGTCTCTCTCTCTCTCTCTCATTATGTAGGCTTACATGCTTTATGGCCAGATTCATCACATTAAGTACACCAAGATATATATCATTACGTGGTAGACAGCTGGTGGAAACTTATTATATTATAGGTGCAGTTGAACTATTTTCCACACTTTATCCTTTAAAATTGATTGATATTGTTTGCCAGCTTTAAAAATGTCGGTTCTGTAAGGCAACAGCACACTAAATGTTTCGTACTGATGCACTCAATTATTAGAACGGTTCTCAAATTAATTGACCACGGAGACTGATATCTTTTTGATATCTTTTAATGAAAGTGATATTGCCATAAGCACAATTTTTTTAGTATCTTCTGAGCCAAAAACATTGCAATCGTGCAAAAATGTCTGTCTGGAAATTGAATGTCGCAGCTGGTGGCATATACGCCCAGTAGCAAGACCTAAGTTTGACTACGTGTACCTTTGTCCAAAAAAGAGTAACGATCTCTAAAGTTTGGCACACATTTTTAAGTGCCATTAAATTTTGTTTTCAAACAGTTCGTGTTGGCTTTTCGTTAAGAAATGCCATCTCTTGTTAGATAACCTTTAATGTATGTTTTGTATAAACTTGCATCAGCTCATTGCAGTAGGTGTGCCACCGAACGCAATCCAAAGGAAAAAAAAAACACAATTGGCACAGTGCACATGATCTTGTACCTGTGGCCAAATAAGTGTGACGACACCCTTGGGTTAGCCTAATCGCTGAAGATATGGGACAAATTCATAAGAGACAAATTGACTGCTATTAATAACTTTAATTCTCATTCAAAACATTTAAATTCCAGAAACGTTGACTTCAGCTGAGCAAAACGATTAATCTTTTCATGCTTACACAGCGCATCATCAGACTATCAGTCTCTTTGATCGTACATCGCCTGTAGCTTACTTCCTTTCCAAACGTTTTCATCGTAAGCAGCGTTAAGGTCAGCACTATTTTGGAATGGAAGGTGGCCAAAAATCCGTCAACATTCCAACGTCCCTGTATTGGTGGTCTTGCGACGCATTTAGACCGATTCCCGGTCCTCGTCCTGCCCCGTCTGACCGCCACAGTAAAAGCGCACGTTGTGTAACTCAAAGACCGTCTCACAACAAAATCCAATATTGGGTATGAAAGAAATAAGACAGAAACGTCAATGAATCACCGAGGCTTGGGACATCAATCAGACTATTTCTAGATATCGTTACAGCCTAAAGCTATTCCAGAGGTTTCATTCGATTTGTTTGAAAAGCTGAGATATACGAAAGGTCGGGTCTTTTAAGGTGGAGGAAATAATATAATGTACGAAAATAGCACAATTTAGAAAGTTTATGGACAGGGAGAGGGAGGGGGTCGGTTGATTGTGCTTGAGTGGGGCTGACACTAATATCTTAACGCAGGGGACCCGATGACTGCAGTAACAACAGAGGAAACCCTGTCTGTTTGAAAACACCATGAACTAATTTTAAGTCTATACATCTTGACAGTGCCTTCGGTTCACACGTGCTTATTTTTCTATTTTTTTAATTAAAAGAATGCACAACGACGACCAGAACTAATATTGACGACCAGAACTATTATTGCTTTACAGTGAAGTGAAAATCTATTCAAGTGTTCCCAGAAAACTTTAGGCGCTGCGTTATTTGACCGTAGAAGTTTAATTTGAAGTAGGAAATACAAGACACACTCCATTGATCACCGGTATTTTGAAGGGGATCGTAACCACTTGATTGTGTCTCACAATTGTAACTTATGAAATGCTTCTGGTAGACACAGGGTGCTTCTAATCGATTTCCCCCAAAAGACCACGGAACACAGCAGTTTTGTTGTAGAAACTATCGATTGCCTCCTAGAGTCGTAACATATCCATGGCGACGGAGTATACATTCAAAACAATCGTATTAGAGCGGTAACTTATTGTAGACGAAAACAGTTTGAATGAAGAAAGTGATAGATAGAGATGCTTTAAAACGGGACTTTAAGTTGAAACACGTTGCTTTTATAGTTCAACATAAGTTGGTAGGCCTACATTGAGGAACGATTTGGGAACGCGCAAATATCCGGACAAGCTTTACGGAGAAGTTTCCTTTAATCTTTGAAAATATTTGCGAAGGGTGATACATAACGCTAATATCAAAGATATAGAAAATTAGTTAGGAAAAGCAAAGTTACATCAGCTTATACAGCCAATATGGAGGATTACCTGAGCCAGTTATACATGGAGACAAACCTTGATCTTGATGAATATGAAGACGAGGAAGTGGTGTATTACCTAGAGAGAAGTTACACACGTTTGGGGAGTGAGGAAAATGACGACGAAGATGAAATGTATTATAACTTTGCTTCTCTTACAATACGTGTCTCACGTGAATTATAGTGATACATCGCATGTTTTATGAAATCAAACTATTTCAAAAAGAAAAAAAGAGAACAGAGATTCAAAAGTCGTATCATCTATTTCCATCTAGCTGTTTTATCAGAAGGCGTGTATTGTATATATATATATATTTTTTTTTTTTGCAGGCCGCCAGTCCAGTGTTCCCCATGGAAGAAAGGCGGCGACTTCAACCTTCCCCTTCACGGGAAACTCACTATCCCGCCAAATTGTCTGCAGGGAAAGAAAGACGCCATAACCTGCACACTACTGACACCTAGTGACAGAAATATCCACATGCCGAGTCTAACCAGAGATGAACACCTAGCAAGCGAGATCTTTCTTTTTGAGTTTAATGGGACAAAAATGAAGGGTTCGTTGGTATTCATCCTCCCATATTATGAAGTAGACTATACGTACTATGACATTGTGCTCAAACAGAAGAAACCGGAAGCGGATGAGTGGGAGAGTATTGATATGACGTCAAGTGACGTAAGTATATGCACGTGTTTTGTGATGTCGTCATAAAATGCAATGCTATGTTAAACATACATTTATACAATTAAAAAAGCACTTCATAATTCCATGTTTCTATTCAATTTTTTAATTAATATGAGTCCTAGTCTATTTCATATTTCATATGGGGGCATGTGCTCCTTGTACATGTTTCCCTTCAACCATGCGTATGCAGTACTCTATCTCCAAATCGAATATAGTAAATAAATAACACCAAACAAATCTTTTGAAAAAACAAGACTTGGACATAAAAATGTAGAAAGATACACAGAAAATAAAAATACAGATGATATTCCTTTTACTTTTTATCTACATTCCAGGCTGAAAAGCGTCTAGTAACATTTGAATCAGAAACTCTCGGTGCTTTTGCAATAGTTTCCCGTCTGAAATTAGAATCATTCGACATTAGTCCCCAAGGGTGTATCTACAATGCCAAGATTGGGAAGTACATTTCCATACGGTTTCCTAAAAAGGCCACCGAGACTCCATTACTCTGCGGAATACAGGTATGCTTAACTGATGCAATCATGATCCAAGCTGAAAGATATTTCAATTTAGGTAAAAGCTACTAGGTAAAGCACCGGTCATATATTGTCTCTGCCTTTAAAGGGATAATAACTCTTCGTATGAAATCTATATTTCACAATAAAAACATTGTGAATAACTCATAGAAATATAATGTATTCTGTTTTACCACAAAAACGGCAGTTATAGCTATTATTCTGATATCTGAGCTTGTCTTTAGACCACGTGACCTCCATTGATGGCTATACTCTGTTAAAATCTCTTAAGAGATTTTAACAAAAAACCAAACATTTTAGAAAAAAAAACAGGGACTTACTTTGAATGTAAAAATGGATTCATTAACCATTGGTAAGTATGGGAAAAGTGTTGTTTACTCCAGGAAAATTCATTTTTTGGACAAAACGAAGAATTATTATCCCTTTAAAATAAAGAGTTATTTTAATTGTATATTTATTAATGACCAAAGGAAAGGCTGAAAAACCCGGTATACCTGTGGACTAGAATATATAATGCAAATTGGTGGCGGTGTTATATTGCAGAAGTGATCACAATTACAGTAATATTATGTGGCAAAACTTTCTGGGTGTGCAGACGCCCAGACACTAGTATCTAAAATTGTGTCATTCAATGCCCACTGAGCACAGGGAATTATAATTCTTGCTGCCTGCCTGGCTTCACAGATTGATCAATATTTCTTACCGGATTCTTTTGGTTTTAATATCTTAGATCCACCCAACAGACCAGAATCAACTCCAAGTAATCAAAAGCGAACATCCAACAGAATTCTACGAATTTCTGGGAGCAACAGACATCTTTGAATTCCGACACAATGGACCTAGGCCCGATTTCAAAAGGTGAGTTTTCTTTCCTGCATGTCCCCCTACCAGATAATACGCGTATATGTTCGTCCTTGTTGATGCATTGGGTAGTATACTAGTAGTTGCTTCATATACGCAGCACACTGAAAAGTTAACGTACACGCACTTCCAGGCACTGGTGATGCATTTTAGAATGTATTTTGGAAGAGCTTTATATCACAATGCGATCTACTCAATTTACAATAACCAGCTTTCAATAGTCATCTTAGCTTTATGAGCGTATGTATGGTTAAAATGATTTTTGTACACTATTGTTAGTTCGGACACTCCGTCAGGCCGAGAGTCGCCCCCGTATGTAACTTGTATGCCAATGTATAACGCATGCGCTGGTCATGAAGAACATTTGAGCATGCGCCATCTACAGATTGCATGACATAAACGCTTTTCAAGCTTTTCAACACAACTTTGCGCATGTGCACTTCTATGAATTGTTCTGAGTTTAAATGATGACAGCATTGTGTGTGTATATGTGTGTACATTGATAATTTTAATTTAGTACTGTTTTGCAGCTACGATTCTCATGCAAAGCTTTGCAATCGCATATACAGTATATCCCGTTTTAATGTTTTTTTTAATCTTATTTTTGTTTATATTTTGCGGTGACAATTTTGGTTATCTTTAAAAAATTTGGATGCTTTTACGTTTGGAATAACGCGTAATGCAAACGCATATAATAATTTCTGTTAATGCGCGGACCAACGAACCCCACATTTATTTGTACAGACAATCAATACAATAAGTGATTAATGATACTTGCATGTACTTCAGTAGGCATGCACATGTACATATAATTTTGACAGATACAGGATACATGTACACGTACCGAAAACCTACGAAACTATGATAAAATGAATAACTTACATCAGAAATAGCCTGTTAACAATATAGATTTTTCGTATATTTTAACAACATCTCCATTCACCATAACTTTATTTCAGACCAGTCACAATGAAGCTGCCATTGACATCCGTGTTTGAAGAAGATGAAAACACAGAAGATATCTGCATCATGCTGAAGACAGTTAAAGGGTGGGAAGTGCTGGAAAACCCGCTGAAGTTCACGCGCCAAAATGTTTCATTTGACGTCAAGATATTCACAAAGTAAGTTCTTCTTTGTACCTGATTTACTGCTTTTTGGCCGAATTGAAACGATAAACATGTGCAAGATGGTTTCACAACACCTATAGATATAAAAGCTATCCGTATGCGCGATTAATAATAATATTCAAGAAGTTAATGTCTAAACATTAACCTAAGTAAATGTCTAAACTGAGAATTTGTTGTTTTTTGGTGATATGGATATTTATTTTTAGTGAAAGAACCATTGCATATGTGAAAATCAGTACAGAAACAGTTTCATTTTAGTACTGGATGACATATATATGTGAATAATCTTCCTTACAGATTCTGCATAGCGAAATCTCGACCAGGACGCCAGAGGTGTTTGCCAGAGGCTTTAAAGATAATCGAGGAGAGGAGCAATAAAATCAAAGTAGACCACGTGGCAATGGTCAAATTGGAGCAAAAATACTGGTCTATACTTGTGCAATGTGTCCAAAAAGACAAACGTGACGATATTGTGGCCAAACGCAAGGAGAAAGGATGGGTGGAAATAAAACTACCGGAAACCGAAACAGAACAGGACGACAATTCGTCAGGTTTCCCGCGCTTTAACTCTAGAAGACGTCACAAGCCAGTGGAACAGAAATCCGGTTGTAAGGACACAGAGTACGCGGATGGAAAGGAGATTCTTTTAAAACTACAGGGTGAGGTCCAGGTCAAGGTCAAACCAGTGGCTCCACCTGAGAACGAAATGGAGGTTGATGGCGAGGGAGAAAACGATGAAAACAAAGCTTCGGAGGAAAATAAAAATGATAAAGTGAACTTTGACCTTCAATCAAAACTTAACTCTATTGGCCTCAAAGATGATGAAAAACCCAAAGAAGATTATGATTCCCTCTTTTTCAACAGTTTACTTCCTGAGAGCTATAAGAAGTATGAAATAGAGCCCGTCCATTCTACTGAAAAAGACTTGTCTGGGACTTTGAACTTGTATTATAGAAACGAAGATGGGGGAGTCTCTCAATTCAACACAGTCAGCGTTAACATCAGTGAAAGTGCCGTGAAGGACTACTTTTACGTTGAACCCCCGCCGCCGGAGCCAGAACCAGAACCTGAACCGGAACCGGAAGTTGAGCCCGAAGAGCCAACCCCACGACCAAAGACCGTGACCTATAGGAACTTTGAGAGCGAGTCCTTCATGAGGATTACGCAGTCCAAACGGGCAAAAATATCTGGTAAGTCGTTGCTATTGTGAGCTAAGGGATAAATTAAGTACATGTATTGGTTAAACAACATGATCTTCTTTTGGTTCTTATGTTTATTTCCATCGACTGTATGTTAAAGGCAGTATCTTAATCTATCAGCCAAAGATCAGAAATTTCATTGAAGCTTTAGCAGTTAATTGTTTTAATCTTGTTTAAACAAACAAGTAGTAATTTTCATTTCTAATCTCTTCTGTGATTTTGTGGTCAACCTATGTTCGTTATTTTAGCTCCAATATAAGTTCAAACAAGCATCTTTTTCTTTCAGTGCCAAAAGAATCCAAAACGATGTCTGGCCGGAGTCTTATGACACTGGCCAAAGAGATCGAACAGGGGCTTACGCTAGCCGTATATTTGGACATTCCAGACAGCACCATCACAGGAATAGGTTTTGACGCGCTGTCGAATGGACTAAGCCTAATTGACGTCACATATAAAATACTAATGTACTGGAAGAGGAAGACTAAGAAAGAGAGACAAGTGGAGGAATTGGCGTACGGTCTTCGAGGAATGGGTCGACCCGATGTGGCCGCTGTTCTGATGGAAAGGCACAAACAGAATTTGGAATTGACGCCAGATTGTTTTAAATACTGAACATGACAAACTATACTGGTGTAGGGTGGCGTCCACAGCAGAGATAGGACCAGCGTTCTCGTCCTCATTCATCACGTTAACAACTATATTAGTTTATGGAAGTCGTTTTGAAATTAACAGCGAACGCGTGGATGCAAAAAAAAAAGGAAAAAAAAAACATCTCAGAATGAATAAGTTTGTTGACGCTATTTAAAGCTAAATGTCGAGAGATCAGGCATTCATATCTGATATTGGCCATACATTGTATCTGTAGCAAATATAGTGTTAATGTGTTACTTTTTACTAGAACATGGTAATTTGACTCCAATTATTGTCCAAGATAGTTCAGGGTTTCTTAACATACGACATTATTGACTTTGGTGACACCTGCCGTCCATCGCTGTCTATGTTTTGCCTCCGCTGTGATGTTTTTTCCTCCTGAAATGAATGGGATTGCAATCATATCACTGTGACAATTTCCATGGTGTCCTGAGAAAGATGTCGACTGGCGGCACCAACCTTGGTCATGCTATCTTCCCATTAACTTAATGTATGCCGGTATTCACTTGAGCAATTTTTGCGGCAGGATGCTTCGTCTCACATTCATGGTTCACGTCTTATACAGTGTCTACTTCGTCTTTGTACGTGTCAATATGTTTGCTCAAACACAATATGTGGCTTCCAGGTTTCGTTTTTCTGAGACGTGCTTTATAGTTTTATACGCGCATTCTTCATATAAATATTTAGGACTATGTGCACTATTTGGAATTATGAACATATGACTCTGCATGATTGCTCATTATATTTCATGACATAGTTGCTTTTATTGTATTAGACGGTTATGTGCTATTGCGCCCGTGTACCGCGTAATTCGCGTGCCAAAATATTTTGTAACTTCGTATCTATTGTATACTAAGGTAATATATGAATAAAGTAACTACACACAAAAAAAGTAATGTGAGAGTTGTTGATTTCATTTTTGTACTATCATAAAATACATTCTGCACAAGGGATTTTGAAATGTCCATTTCATGTATACCTATCAAGAAATTTTACGTAGAATGAGTAGAGTCATAGATAAAAAAGAGAAAAATAATGAGAAACAAAATGTCTTAGTCCCGGCGCTGACAACAAAAATTCTATCCACCGTCTACGCTTCAATATCAATGCTCAGTGGGCAGCATCACTTCTTTGCAGTACTCTCGTCTTCAACCAATGGCGTACTTCCTCCTCATTGTTAGTAACCCACCGTGCATTAGCTTTCATCAGTTCCAGCATTTCATTCAGAGCCGCTCTTGTGTAATCATCCATTGCGCTTCCAAATTTGTGTCGAAAGGAGTAAACCTAGAAGTTGAAATAAATCAGGTAAAATGAAAAGATGTATTAGTCCGTGTATATGTACGGTAGGGTCCATACTAAGGCTTATGTATCTTATTCAATTACGCTTTCTTCTGCGATAATCTCAATCCGTCAATGAAACAAAACAATATTATCTTACAAAAATGCAACAGTTAGGTCAAATGTACATTAATCTGCACTGTTACATTTGTACACTTTAGAAAAAAAAAACGCATTTTGTACAGCTAACGCATTTCAGATCCGATCCTGCTCTTCCGTTTTCTCAACGCCATTCGGAATTGGCCGAATCAAAAACGGAAACAGTCGAGTTTTGCCAACAGTACATGTAGGCACAAAAATACGTTACCTCTTGGAAATCCACTTTCGTCCAAAACCCATCTAGGATTCCCCCTATCAGTTCTTTTCTATTCCCCAAAACTCTGTCCGTGCTGGAAAGTTCAAGAGTCGGCCGTTAATCGCGACTTCTCGTCCAGTCAAGCGAGATATCACTGCATAGTGCAGCCTCGATTTGATTTTCTTTGTAACAATATTGACCTATTCAAAGGTTTATTAATTTCATGTGTAGTACATATGACGTAAGCAACCCTCCATACACTCTTATAGGAAATAAAAACAAGTCATCTGAACAAAAATCTGATTACAAACCTATTCCATTGCGCCTGAATCCAATCCCAGGCAAGTTTTCTGCCAAACGGACTACTCCCAACAGCCAGAATAGCGTTATTGGAATCGCTAACAGGAAAAATGCTGGCGTTATGCTTAGCATAACTAAGGTACCTAAAGTTAACAACAAAAATAAAGGTAAGTGACAGATATGTGAGACAACGGAAAGCACAATCTACATGTAGAAACTATATTTTACAATAGATTCATGTTGGAATGGGTTCAAAAATTGATTAACTGTTAATGTGTTGTATAATTTTTGTACAGTGTATGTTAACGATGCACACTGGGATGGAATGAAGGGCGGGTCTCTCTCTCTCCCTCTCTCTCTCTCTCTCTCTCAAAAAAATGATATTATGAAATGTTTCCACAGCTCTTATAGATCTTTGCACTGTATATTGTCATTTTATGCTTTAAAATGTCCAAAGGACCCAAAAGAAATGTTGCTATACGTTTGCAAACCTACCTACTCAATACCCACAAGTCCTTGCTACAGGACAGGGCGCCTTCCATCTGATCCCTATGTAACCATAGGAGGTCCCAGTCACGTGGTGTACCGTCACGAATCGCTGTGCAATATGCAAATTCTTCAAATGTCTCAGGGAGGGGGCTAGAATGATCAATATTGGCATCGTACAGTGTATACATTGAAGTGAATTTAATGCCTTGATCCGCTGACTGAGAAGACGTGTGCTGAAACGTCTTGATAAGATCTAAAACAACAAAGATTCAACTTACTAAACAGATTCAATATTCGCTTAATAAATAAATTTATGTCTATATAAAAAGCCACAATAGGATAAAGTAACTGTAGTATTCTCTAGCTCTCTCTCTCTCTCTCTCTCTCTCTCTCTGTGTTTTCTAACGAATATATACAATTATATAGGATAGATATATGACCTTTACGCGACTCCTATCTAAACAAACCTGTTCACTGTATGAAACCTGACGAAAAACTTCTAAAAGTCGTCTTTACTATCTGAAAGACTTTTCCTGGAAAACAAACACAATTATCTTTTTGTTTTATTTTTATAAGTTAAATAATGCACTAACCTAATAACAATGGACACAATACAGAGAATGGCTGCAATCTTACCTCTGGTTCGCTGAAACATTGACGAATCCCCTGAAGGATACCGTGGCTCTGTTGGCACAGTCTTTATTACCGAAGTAACACGAGTTTTCGAGCACCATGATTCTCAACAACCTTTCAAAGACAATTTCTAGGAATTAATCCGATAATTGATTAATACGTGTATTACTGGTATGCAAAAGGTACGTCCAGAAATATTACGATGAATAGTAGCTACTGTGTCAGCAATGGTACATTTATAAAAAAAAAATACATGTTGTTTTTGGCAGGTTCCATGTTAATTCACCATATAGATCTTGATAAAAATAGAAGTATATATTGATGCACCTTGAAAGATCAACATTATAGTTGTTAAATTAAGATATAAGCATATTTAACAACTGTAATGTAGATCTTTCAAGGTGCATCAATATATATACTTCAGTTTTTGGCAGGTTCAACGCATGTGTTAAATGAAATGACAATTGCAATCGTAAAAAAATTACCTTATTGGGTATTCACCAATATCTTTCCATTCCAGTTCATTGTAAAATGGCAATAGGAGACCGTGGATATATTTCTGAAATAGGTAAAACGGACATGGCATTTTATGAATCACAACTGATATACAAATGCCAAATGTTGCTGTTCTTAGTTTTTCAACAGTATTCAACTTTTGAAGGTGAGAGACTTTGGTAAGATGTAAGACTTTTCACTTCCACCTGAGTACCAGAAAAGATTGGGTACGGTTCTTATCTTTGGCTTCACTACTGTACATCTATTCATATTATGTTCTCTAGTGCAACACAAAAAATCTGGCTGCATATTGGTATGTGTACGTTAACATGGGATTCAACATAAGTGCAACCAAAACTGGATTGAAAACAAATAAAGAACAACATTAAATAAATAAATAAATAAATAAATATACCCGGAATTCCACATAAAATGCAGTTCGTGCGAGGATTTTGTCTATTAAACGAAATATTTTTATGGCCGTCTGCCATGGTCCCAACTCTCGTTCCCGCGAGAGGTACTCGGTGAGCCTTAATGCAGTGGTAGCAGGTAGCATCCCAGATCTGAAACGGCGTACATGTATATTGTGTTCAACTGGAAAGCCTTGATAAAGATTGCTAATCTTATAATGCAATTTGAGGAGAAATGATGCCTGAAGGTGTTATAATAACAGAGATGTAGTTAAAACGCTTATGAAATATTCAGTGAATATATATTACAATTTTCTTCCAATCACACTCATTGCAGCAGTTACAGTATATCCCCTGTCGTTAATCTATCCCGATACTTTACACGCAGCAGCTGGCTTAAAAAGTTCTTAAAATGATTTAACTGCCTTTACCTGGCAAGGTTAAATGCATCGTCTATTAGTTGAGCGCGAATTTCCGGGGCGATAACCTATGAACCAAGAGAAAGGTCAAGTTCTTTAAAACAAGCTTATCAAACACAGAACAACAATGACATTTGCGAATTACCTGGGCTAAACTCAGCTTTATCATCAATATCTCTGAGAGAATTTCTCTGAGAGAAAAGCTGTCTCAAAAAACCTATAAGAACGACATATATACTGTGATCTTTAAAACATCCAGGTCCCAGTTATGAGGAGATAAGCAAGGCCACATATACTAACTGTGTGGTTTCTATTCAGCAAATCGATAATAAGCTCCCAGTTCCTGGAATCATAGTTGACTCTATAGAAACCAGGTTCCCCTACATTTCCCAGCAGCAAGGAATCTTTTACCAACGGAATCCCGGCGATTTCCACTGCAATGGAAAACAGAGGCATATGTACATGTATAAAGATAAAGAGTACATTATACTTAGGCCTATAGTAATACTTCTTTCTGTCTACAAAATTCGGTAGCCAAGAGTTGAATGCCCGTAATATTTTTATGAAGCAGAAGACAGTAGGTAGGAAGTGATCCTCTTTAGGTTAAACAGGTAGATTGATACTTACCGAAGTTCATATAAACAGTATATACGGAAAGGTGGTTCAGTTGATATGTTAACTTCTGTGATGTGTGTGTGTGTGTGTGTGTGTGTCGGGGAAGGGGGCAATGCCCAACAGCAATTACGCAATAGTAATTGTCTTACGTCAACAATTCTTATTGATTTGAACCTTTCCCCAACTCTTTGTGGCATATGATGCGTCTTAATCATTGAAAAAAAGGAAAAATTCAACACAAAAATAGCAAAATTCTGGAGAATCGACGCTTAATTGTTCTATACGGTTAATTAACGAGCGCGAGCCTACAGTCCGTGACCAAGGCAGCAACGGGCACATTGATCAAGGAACCGACACAGGAACTCCTTTTGTTAAAGTGTCTTGTCATATAAACTGATCCGTTATTCTGTCAAACTAATGTAGTATTTCTATGGGTGCGTTTACAATGCAACTATTGTACTAAATGTAGGAAGTTCCAACTAACTCCGCGGGGACTCTTGCTGAATACAATCAGATTAATAGATTTTTTTACTTGTCTTGCTACTTAAAATAACGGTCTTTTACAATGCCGTAAAAGAGAGAATTTCTGCATTTTCTTTCATTGAACAGAATTGCATTGTATCGTAGCATATATTTTACCAAAGTAAGTACAATTTTAAATAAAAAAACATCAGCAGGAAATGATATTTCGGTCAAATCACATTACGTTTTCACAAATCACTGTGTTGAATAAGGCGGCAGCTGAAATGTATCGAATAGAGAAGCAGCTAATGTTCATAGTCGGCGCCGAATAAACTTGTTTCTTAAAAAATACCGTCTCACATTTGCATTTGCTACTGTACCTAAGCTGACGTCAATCTAAAATCTTTGCAACTAGCGGCTATAATGTACCAAAGCAATTCACTTGCTTTGAGATAGTATCGAAACCAGTTCCACGACCAAGCATTTCACCTTTTCAAAAGAGATAAAAGATAACAAGCTCTTGAGGTAAGATGCAACACGCAAACAGGTGACATTCACTTAACTATCTCATTAAAAACAAGATACAGAATTATTGTTGTTTTTTCCTGTAGTTAATAACACCTTCGTCGTAGTGGCGTACCACCTGGGCGACCGCAGCTGGAGAAAACATCAAAGAAAAGTAGCAGCCGCACTGGTAGAACTTGAACTGCCGCTAATTGGAAGCAATTCATCATTGCGAAGCCAGGCGAAAGCTCGAATTTGAATTAAATTTTGTGGCATTCATGTTAGTTTGGGCAGGCATGTTGTAGTATCACTGTTAGGTAACGTAATGTTGGCACAAAGTTACCTAGACAAGGGGAAATATGAATCCAGATCGCAAAGGCTTGAACGTGCTTAAGTCTGTGTCGTGAAATGGTTTCGCGCAAAAAAATGTATATCTGCAAGTAAATGACATTATCCAAATAGATAACAGTAATGGGCAGTTACGCCGTCATCCATCGTGAACACAACATCCTCGGCTGAAGTCAATACTGGCAAAAACAAATTTTTTCACCGGAGATTACATCGGTATTAAAAAGCGAAACCAGTACGAGTTTTTTTCTCTTTGAGTGGAGTATATATAAAGCGCATTCGATAGAACATGCTACAATACGTGTTCAGAGATTCTTGTATTCTGTTAACCGGACGGTTTTTTCAAATCTTTGCATTTTGAAACTATAAAGATCTAAATAGCCAGTTAAGTTTCCCGAAATTATATCTAACACGAATTATAAAACAAATTAATGCTAGTTTATCATTATTGGAAACATTTTTCAGACATGCACAATGAAACCATGTCTTTTTTTCTTACATAAACTCTCGATGGATTTTATATAAACGTTAATTTGGCATATCTTATCTAAAATGTTTTTTTAAAGAAAAGGGCTTTTCACTGTCCATTCACTTTCGCCTTGTGTGCATCACTAATTTGTTTATTGACTAAATGTTGGTTATCTTTGGTGACAAAATGCTCAGTGTTCACCATTAGTTTAAATATGTTCATTGCCGGTAAACTTCCCCTCAAAGAAAGCTACACGTACGTGCACCAATGTATGTAGCAGGACGCACGCTGTTATATATGTAAAAAGAAGAGCATCACGGCTCCGTAATTTACTGTGCTTTCATGTGGGTTGGGCTCAACCCATTCTTGAACCATATTTCTCTGTGTTCCCTTAATGTATTATAAGACCAGCAGGCATATTGTTGATTATTATTCAATTATACACGAAACCCGAATTCCGGCATTCATATTACGAAACAGTGGTGTGTACCTCAGTAAACTTAATATATGTGACTAATAAGACCTGTTCCTTATAATATAAAATGGGCCACCTGTTAACTGGATGTTTATATCCTTTCCCCCCCGCTCTTGTGATTCTATTACTGCACTATGGTGGAAAGAGAAGAAAAGAAAAGAAAACAAAATTCCTTGCAGACCAGTTTTACCGAACACGTCAGAGTGCCCGTGATTTATCTATTATATCAAAATCAGATAACTGTCGCCTTATAGAACAAATTACCCACAATAAAACAAGATCCAATTCATCAGAGTTGCCAATGCTTGAAGTTCGT